TTTCCTGCCCTTACCCCCACTCCATGCCCCCTTGTTCTACATCAATGTCTAAGATAATTTTTTACTGGTTCTTATTTGTTTTGAAATATAGTGATTGATTTCTTCTCTTGCTTTGAACCGTCCTTGTATACCAGTTATGAAACACACTTGGAAATGATGATTTTTTTTATGTGCTTTTGGATTCTATTGTCTAGGATTCTGTTAAGGATTTTTAAATCTACATTCATGAGAGATAGTGGTCTGTAGTTTTCTTTCTTGATAATACCTTTGCCTGGTTTTTGTATTAGGAGTATGCTGTTTCATAGAATGACTCTGGGAGAGTTTTTTCTTTTTCTATTTTTTGAAATATTTTAAGTAGAGTTGGTGATAGATCTTCTCTGTATGCTTGAAAGAATTTAGCTGTGAAGCCATCTGGTCCAGGACTTTTCTTGTCAAACTTCACTTATTCGAGTTCTTTTGTGATGGGTCTGTTCAAATGTTCTACATCTGTCCAGTCCATGTCCATATGCTAGAACATGAGTCTCAAGGACTTTGTCTATTTCCTCTATGTTTTCAAATTTATCATAGTACAACTTCTCATAGTATTCTAATGTTATCGATTTAATTTCATCTGGTTTTCTGTCACTTCTATAATTTCTTTTCTAATATTTATACTAGTTTATTTAAAAAATTCTAATACAGTTTTTCAGACAAGATTCTTCCAATTTCCTCACCCTGCCCCCATGCATCAAATTGTACAAACACATGATTAATTCTTCCCTTACACACACACACACACACACACACACACACCCTCATCCATCTGCTTCCACCTTTCTTCCCCCTTGGGTCTTCATGTTCATCCTACATTAATGATTTTATACAATAATAGTCATGTGGAACTGAGTTAGTTCACCCAATATAATGCTCTCAGTCCTGCCAAAGTTAGGTTCTGTGCCGCCTTCTTTTTTCCTTTCTTTTGTTAGGTTTGCCAATAGTTTGTCAGTTTTATTGACTCTTTGGAAAACCAGCTCCTGTTCTTATTGATGATTTCAATTGTTTTTTTCTGTTTTCTATCTCATTGAATTCAACTCTTGTCCTTATAATTTCCTTTCTTCTAGAGGCTGTAGGATTAGACAGTTCTTTTTATATGTGATAAAGGTATAGGATTTGGTCATTGATTTTCCTTCCTTCCTTCCTTCCTTTTATTCCCCACAAGTGTGACTTCTGCATCTCTGTTAAGTTTCTTTTGAATTGGCCTATCTTTTCTTAATAGTAGTGTGTTGAAGTTTCCTACCATGATTGTGCTGCCATCTATTTATTTCTTCAATTCTGTTCACTGTTGTTTTATGTATACTGCAGGTATATCATTGCATAATGTTGACCAAGGTTATGTCTTCTAGATCTATTGGACCTTTATTTCATATGTAATCCCATTCCTTATCATTTTCAATTGAGATTTTAATGAAAGTTTATAAAGAACGTGGGTTTCCAATCCTTAGTTGTTGTAAATGTTCTTCCCTGCTCCCCTCCCTCCCAGATTGCTTTTTTCTTGGTGAAAAACGTTCTTTCATTGTTATACAGATGCAAACCCACTGCCCCAGGCCACTTTACAATGCAGCTCTTATTCGGGACTCTTGTCATGTTAATAATACCTAATCATATATTTCTTTTATACAGTTTTCTCCCTCATCTGTTTCAATGTCATGTACATCATCTATCCTTTCATTTCTTAGTTTTTCCCCCAACGCCCAAGTCAGTCATATTTTATAACAGTGGCATCATGCCATATTTGTCTTTTTGTGACTGAGATATTTCTCTCAGCATACTGACTTCCATAGTCACCCATTTTGTATAATATTTCATGAGTTACTTGTTTTTTCGGTGCTCCACAATATTCCATTGTGTGAATATACCACAGCTTCTCCATTTGCTAATGGACACTTGGATTGTTTCCAACTCTTTTCTATTGTGAACAAAGCAGCAATAAACACA